ACTGACCGGTAACAGGATCGCAACCCTCGGTGTCGCGCCCGTACCGGGGACCGGCAACGGGGATCGCAACCCTAGGTGTTGCGCCTGCCCCACGCTCAGCCAGTGAGCGGGAACCAGTCTCCACATGGGATCCAAACCCTCGGCGTGAGCGCCGCCGCGCTCCCAAGCGGCGCACTCTCCAGTGCGCCACCGGGCCGGCCCTGGGAAAATAAATTTTTAAAGAAATCACTATTATTTCAACTTGTACTTCTTTGATTATTCATATTTATTGGTCACTTGTATTTCTGCTAATTGCCCCTTCATGTCTTTTGCCTATTTTCCCATTAAAGTGTTATTAAAAAATATATCAGTAGTCAAATCTACAAGAATTTTGTTATGGCTTTTGGAATACAACTGTACTACCTACCTCAATAGTATAAAAACAAGAATGCAGTGAATACCTATTATGTGCCAGACACTGTATTAGCCCTAGGGGATTCATGGTCTTCCATTCTCGTGGGATAGGTGGGCATTCAACAAGTTATTAAAAATAGTAATCACACCATGAAGTGCTAGGGAGAAGTACAGGAAGCCATGAGAAATTATGTGCCAGACACTGTATTAGCCCTAGGGGATTCATGGTCTTCCATTCTCGTGGGATAGTTGGGCATTCAACAAGTTATTAAAAATAGTAATCACACCATGAAGTGCTAGGGAGAAGTACAGGAAGCCATGAGAAGGTGTAACAGGACTGATTCAGAAGCTATGGTGAGGCCTTCCTGAGAAAATGCCAGTAAAACTGAGATCTGAAATCTGTACAGAAGTTAACTTAGAAGTGGGAATAAACATTCTAAATGGGGAGCACAATGTGTAAGGCCTGAAGGTGCAAGAGAGCATGAAGCTACATGGCTGCGGTGCAGAAAGTGACAATAAGTATAGTACCAAATACTTACGTACTACTGATGTGTTAAGCAGTTCCAAGAGATTTAAATGTATTAACTCATTTAACACCAAAATAACCCATTAAGGTAGGCTGGTATGCCCAGGGTCACACTGATACTAGATGATGAAAGCAGCATTTGAACCTGGGCAGTTAGGCCTCTGAGTCTGAGTTCTTGTGCATTTGCTCTGCCTCAGAGAAAAGTGGTGTAGTGACAGGCCAGAGGATGGTCAGGGCTGGGTTACCCAGGTCTACAAGGATTTTTGAGTTTATCCCAAGAGCAAAAGGAAATTGTTGAAGAATTTTAAGAAGGATGGTTATATTACATTTGTGCTTTTAGTCACCCTGGCTACAATGGGAAAATGAACTCTAAAACAGAGTGGATGCAGGGAGGTAATTCAGATAGTGACTTATGTAAGAAATGATGGTGGCCCGACCAAATGATAGCAGAGGAAACAAAGGAGAAAAAGGATGAATTTGAGAAATATTTGAGAGGCAGAACAGACAGGATTTAGTGACTAATTGGACAAGAAGAGTAAGGAGACGTCAAGAATGATTTCTAGGTTTCTTGATTACTCAAAAGTAATTTGATAATCAGTGTTTTTCTACTGATTAAAAATGCTGCCTATATTATATAATAATGCCCATATGTATTTGGTTATATTTTGACTGTTCTATTTCTCATGATACCACTTTATTTGGTAGGAAGAGTCCCTCTCGTTACTTGTATTTTTCAGAATATTCGTGGTTATTCTCTTATATTTATTCTTCCAGATAAACTTTAGAATCATTTTGCCATTCAGTACACAGCTGCCCACACGCACTTCCTTCCCAACCTCTGTCAGCCAAAAAACACCAAAAAGCAAAAACTAAACACTCAGTTTTTGAGTTGTGACCTGGACTGAGCTGAATTCATAGATTAATTTAATGGGCATAATCATAGATTAATCTAATTTAACTGGCTCATCCCAATAAAATCTCTGAAATCAGGCCTTGGGTGTGCTTCCCTGGTTGGCACTAGTCCATGTATACTATCACACAGTGTTGTTGGGAAAGTTAGCACTGTCCAAGACTCCACTAGGAGAGGATAACTGGAATCTCTGCTTGTGGGACTTTCTAGAACTCTGTCCCATGTGCCTCTTCCCTTGGCTGATTTTAATCTTTATCCTCTCACTGTGATCAATTGTTACCATGAACATAACAACTTTCAGCAAGTTCTGGGAGTCCTCCCAGTAAATTCCTAGGCCTCAGGGTAGGTAGTCTTGGGGGTCCCTTGAACTTGCGGTTGCTATCAGAAGTGAGAGTGGTTTTGTGGACTGCTCCCTAACTTTACAAAACCTTAAAGAGAAGCATGATGCTTTCCCTGTAGAGGAGGACACAAACAATTGAACAATTATGCTAACGTATGACAAAGTGCTATGATTAGGGACACACAGAGTACTTTGGGAGCATATGGGATATGTATATCTAGGAAAAGGAAATACTATTCAAGGCCTTGGTCGTGAGACAAAGAAGTCCAGTATAGGACCGTTCAAAGGGAATGAAATGTAAAAAAGAACTGAGATTTTATTTTCTTTATTGAAACATATTTGATTGTATATATTTGTGGGTATGAATATCAATACCTGTTGCAATATGTGATGCTCAAATCAGGTTAATTAGTACATTCAACATTATATAATGTAATCATTTTTTTGTAGCCCTTTAGCAATTTCTCGCCAACTTCTCCCCCCTCACCCCCACATGTCTGGTGGCCTAAGAACTGAGATTCTAATAATTTGCAAATTTTGAAGTAGATATGCTGTGAAAGAGAAAACAATTTAGAAATTTAAGAAAATCTCACGGAAAGCACAGTGTGGAATTACAACTGAAAGATTATCAATTGAAGATTTACTGATATGCATTACTGGTGGGAATGAAACTGGTTCATATTCTATAGAAGGTATTTATCAAAGTCTATCAGTGACCTTAGAAATGTTTGTACCTTCTGACCCAGCAATGGAATTGGGGAAGAATCCCTCAGATATATTCACATATATAAAAAATGATATTACAGAATTATTCACTGCAGCATTATTTGTAATATCAAAAGATAAATACATGTTAAATGTCTTTCAAAAGGGGAATGGTTACATAAACTGCTACATCCATACAACCAAGTACTATGTAGCCATTAAAAAAGAATGAGATGTTCGGACGTACTAAGTGAAAAAACGAAAGTGTATAATACGCTACTGCTTGTATAAAAATGAAAAAGAATATATAGATTATCTATGTATTTACAAATATGCTTATGTATGCATACAATATTTCTAGAAGAATATCCAGGAAATTGATAGCACTCATTGCCCAGGAAGGAGAACTGGGTGACCTGGAGGAAAATTCTGCTCTACCTACATACATACCCTTTAAAGTCAGGACCATGTGCATATAACACATCTATTTAAAATATGTTAAGAATTAATTTACTGATAAATCTTACCAATGATCTGGGAGTATTTATTTGAACAAACAGAATAGAGCAGCTATTATAAATATCATCTGTTTGGAAATACTTAGTTTATTTGTACATACCTGACATTCTGTTTCATTAGTTTTCATTGCTGTCAAGTCATCTTGTTTACTTATGATCTTCTGCAGCTAAAAAGATTGCAAACATGAGTTTACACGTGTGTCTACTGAATTTTTCAAAACAACCTAAAAAACAGATGTTATTAACTATAAAATATATACTACTTATTTGTTAAATATTAACAAATTCTTTCTGTATCATTACTCCTAACATTATCTTTTTTCTTAGATCATGTAAGAATCAAAGGAGAAAAATAAAAGTATTAACATTATTATTATTACAATTTTCTCCTAAGAAAGCTAGCTTATGTAATGGATGCATATTCTTTTTTTTTTTTTCTTTTTTGAGACCGGCCACACCGCGCTCAGCCAGTGAGCGCTGTGAGCGCACCGGTCATCCCTATATAGGATCCAAACCTGCGGTGGGAGCGTTGCTGTGCTCCCAGCGCTGCACTCTCCCAAGTGCGCCACGGGCTCGGCCCATAATGGATACATATTCTAAAGGCAGCACTATATAAACACTTCATGAGTGCTGTGTCTTTCTCTCAAGAGAATTTTCATTCAAAATTAATTTTTTATATCCCTGATAGTTTATGGCCACATTTTCAAGTATATAACTCTTAAAAAGCTATTTTTATCACATACATGTTCTTCCTTTCCCTTTATACATTTATGAAGTATTAAAATAATTTAACAATTTATATTTTACTAAATATAAAATTGTCAATAGTACCTTGAAATTGAGTACATTAACAAACCCACCTACCTTTGAGTCATTTATACCAATCCTCATATGGAAAGCGAATTTTTAAAAAAAGGATTTAAAATAAAACAGATGTAGACAAAATCCAAAACTATGGATTCAAATCAATTAGGAGACAAATCTTCACTCAGTTTTTCCTAGGCTATTTCTTTCTAATACTTTGAAAATTATTGCAATTAAATTCCAAATCAATTATCTCAAAGTTAGCTATTTCTGCTTGTTTTAGGCAAATAGTTTATCTCTTGCTAAATCCCTCAGCCAGTTTTCAATGCTCCTCCTCCTCATTTCAGGAAAA